GATGATTAAACAACAACAATAACATGGTGGGTATCTCACTCTTTGAAAAATGTTAACTTAAAATATTGTAATCGATGCCTGACCTGTATTCTAATACAGTTATAATAGATATAGGTACCTTAACGTAACACCAATGTTGTTGTTGGTAAGTGCCGTTGAGTCAGTTCAGATTCATAGAGACAGGTCCAACTGTATAGGGTTTCCAAGGAGTGGCTGGTGAGCTTGAACCACTGACCTTGTAGTTCAAAGTGACCTTGTGGTTCAGTGCTTTATCCCAGAGTGCCATACTATGATATAACATAGTCACTGCCAATGACTACTGTTTTAAAATCATTTTTATAATAAATGGTACTGAGGTAAAACCTTGTACAAGTAAATTTAATCATCCACATAAATCTTAGTCACCCATTTATAATTAGAAATACAGGGTCAAAGGCTGGTATTTCTAAAAGGCATATTACCCTCCAGAAAGGCTGAACGAATTTTCATTTCCACCAGCTGTTCATGAGAATTCCTGCTCTTTTATCCTTATCAACACTGAGATTTTTATAGATTGTTTTCCAGTTTGACAAGGGAACGATATAGTGTATCATCAGTTCACGTTGCATATCTGATTATTACTGAGATTGAACATTTTAATATAAGGAGTCCTGGTGTGGTGCTGTGGGTTAATGCACTAGACTGCAAAGTTGATTTGAAAAGCAAGGTCGTAGTTTCAAACTCACCGGTCGCTCCTTGGAAACCCTATACAGCGTCATTATGGGTCAGACCCAACTTGAAGGCACTTAACAACAAAAACAACATGGCTGTTGTAGTCTTTTGGTAAGTTGTCTTTTTGTATCATTTGCTAATTTTTTTGATTAAGTTGTTTGGACTCTTCTTATGGAGTCAAAAGAACATGTCAAATATTAAGAATACTTTTTATGATATAGCTGTATGTTGCTGCTACCATTGATTCGGTTCTGACTCATAGTGACCCTTTGTATGGTTTCTGGAGCAACTGATGGTTTGAACTGCCGACCTTGTGTTTCAAAGTCCAGTGATTATTCTACAGTCCCACACCAGGAGTCCATATAAATATATATATGTTGTTGAGTGCTATAAAATTGGATCCAACTGATAGAAACCCTGTATACAGTTTCTGAGGAGCCACTGTTGAATTTGAACTGCCAGCCCTGTGATTATCCTACAGTGCCACATCAGGCCCCCACGTATATATATATGAGTTCATATCTGTATATATACAGATATGAACTGCCAACCTCTCCATTCAAACTGATCTTGTGGTCCAGTGTTTATCCTACATCACCACACAAGGACTCCGTATGTGTGTATGTATTAATGCACTGCAGGATGAGCACTGGCTTTCTAACCACAGATTCGATGGTTCAAACCGACCAGCTGCTCCATGGGAGAAAGATGAGGTTTTCTGCTCCCGTAAAGATTTATAGCCTCAGAAACCCTATAAAGGGTAGCTATGAGTCAAAATCAATTCAACAGCACCTAACAACAACATATATGCTGTTGTTGTTGTTAAGTACCATGGAGTCGGTTCCAACTCATAGTGACCCTGCACAGGGTTTCCAAGGAAAACATTCTTGAGATTTTGTTAATATTTAGTGAACAAATATGTACTAAGTTTGTACTTGTAACAATTTCAGTATGGATTGCATCTCAGTGTAAAGAAAACAAAATCCTCACCACTGGACCAATAAACATTCTTATCTATGGAGAAAAGATTGAAGTTGTCAAGGACTTCATTCTTCTTGGATCAACTATCAAC